TGATAAGAGGACCAGCTCCTGTGGAGGCTTTGCTGCACTGCACAGCAGCATCAATACAGGCTTAGGTGACAACAAAGAATGTTGTACTTAAGTCTGGGTTTGGAAAGCAAGAGGATGTTCTTTTGCCTGCTCCCACTGGATTGAATAGAAGGAAACTGTGGATTCAACATGGCCCCAGTCCTCCCCTGAACTTCCCTGGGTAGCTCTGTTAGTCCCATGGGGAGAAGGTTTAGAATGTGATCTCCTTGTGACACCATGGGTGACTAGTGAATGCCTCCCGACGCACATACATGTATCTTGGCCAGATCCTGCACATGGGACACAGATTTTAAAAGGTACCTTTGTTATTTCCCTTTGACCAATTATGAGCTACCCAGTGCTGGGTGCACACAGAGTCTGCTGAAATTCAGGACCAAGCTGTATGAGTATATGGTATCACCACCCAGGGAGGCCTCCGCAGGCAGTCCCTGGGCTTTCCTGGAACTAAAAGCTGGCCTGACTTCTCCAAGATGTATAGTATTATCTGTACTAGTCCCCCTAATTGCATTATCCTTTTGTCTATAGGTGTGTCCTTACCAACACTATTGTGAACTGGGAACATGCCTATGCCAGAGTAGCAAACACCTCCGCCTCCTGCGTATGCTCTGCAGTGCCTGTGAGTCCTACTGCCAGACCACTCAAGGGACAGCCAGACTATGTCCCCTTGACAACTGACATGGCTGGGAAAAAGACTTTCATTGCCGCAACATGGGATAAAACCGGTTTTTAGTAATCCTAGGTGATGGGGCTTTTTTGCTGTTTGTATGCTGTGGCGGCTTATATAGCTGTTAATGCATATGGATGCAGTGCTGTGGCCTCCTCACTAAGGGATCTTGTAGAAGACTTCAAACGCTTAGATTATACAGTGAGGGATCCTAAAGGAGTGGATTTTCAGGCAGGCTCAAGACGCTACAGTTAAGCTCCCTCACTGAGCCTTACTATGAGGCCAAGGTCATGAACATCCTGATTCAGCTTATGTACTCAAGGTCATAAACATTTGCTTGTGAGCATGTACCCACTTATGTAACCTGCCGGCAATGTGCCTTGTTTCTCTGACCTACATATAGAAAAGGTCTGTGGAAATGGCTCAGGAGGCTAATGGAACTGGCTGGGCTAATAATGAAGCTGGAGCTGGAGGCTGGGGGCTGCTGCTGCCTCTGAATAAAGAAGGCCTACTATTCCAACTGCACCTTGCATCATCTCCCCCTGCTGTGACTCTGAATCTGTTTCCCAGGGTCTGAGTCTCCACCCCCAACAACATCTCTGTCTCATCATTATGGTCCTATCCAACACACCATCACATCCCATGGATTCTACTGTTAACAGTATATTGTACTGCCACCATCCTAGTCTAGGTCCCATCATTCTTTCTCTGCATTGCTGTAGAAAACTTCTCACTAATTTTCCTGCTTTCTGTCCAACCCAATTGCCACATACTAGACACAACATACTAGTTATGGGATAAATCTGATGATTTCCTTCCCCAGCTTAAAAACATTCAACGTTTTTCAGAACGTGCTTAGAAGAAATTGCGAGCCCTTCATTATGCCTTTTAGCTCCTATGTAACATGACTCCTAGTTTCTTTTCTAGCTATATCTTTTGTTAGCCAACTTAGCCATTTTTTCATCTTCAGGGCCTTTGCACATGCTTTTCATTCTAACAAAAACACTGATACTTTTCACTTTGTGTAGTTAACATCTATTCATCCTTTAAATTAGACCTTAAATACCTCTCATCCTCCCCTTATATGTCACTTGAGGTAACCCTTCCATGACTTCCCTAACTTAAGTACAGCACTTATACTCACTCACAGAATCATGTATCTCTCCTTGGTATTAGCTTAGTTTTAAGTTTAGTTGATTAATGCCTGTGTCTCCCTTAACTCAGCAAATCACTCTGTGCAGGTTTTTGTTTTTATTATTTTATTACCAGTTCCTAATATAGTACCCAGAATATAGCTTCTCAGGAAACATCTGCAGGGGGGCTGGGGATGTGGCTCAAGCCGTAGCGCGGGGCATTGGGTTCTATCCTCAGCACCACATAAAATAAAATAAAGATGTTGTGTCCACCAAAAACTGAAAAATAAATATTAAAAAATTCTCTCTCTCTTTAAAAAAAAGAAAAAAGAAAAAAGAAACATCTGCAGAACAAATGTATGAGTACTAGAGTGTCACGCTACTGAAAGGATGTTGTAGGTCCTGTGAAAATATATTAATCTAATAATTAAAGAATGATAATCTAAAAGAATAACCATGTGAACTTAATGATAGAGTCATTAGCTTTGCTTGATTATTTATCTAAGAAATGTGAGTAAAATTCTACACTCGTGATCCTTATCTCCTAATTATAATAGGCAAAATGAAACCAACCTGTCCATCTCCTCCACTACACACATACACAGAATAATTTCAAACTTCAGTGAAAGTATGCAAAGGGAAGCTCAGCTGATCTGTGGGTAAGGTCATGAATTTTTTTTACAAAAAAAGTAGAAGTTGCTCGTGAGATGAAAGGTGTTTCAGTCAGCTTTTTGTTTTTGTTGCTGCTGCTGTGACCAAAAGACCTGACAAGAACAATTTTAGAGAAAGAAAACTGTATTTGGCACAGGTGGTTTTAGAGGTCTCAGTCCACAGATGGCTGACTCCATTGCTCTGGGCCTGAGGGGAGGCAGAAATCATGGGGGAAGGGTGTGGAGGAGGAAAGCACTGCAGGACAGGATAATCAGGAAATCAGGAATAGGTGGGGGAGAAAGAGAGAACGCTCCTCTCACAAGGGATAAAATATAAACCCCAAAGGCATGCTCCCAGTGACCTACTTCCTCCAGCCACACCCCACATGCCTACAATTTAATTCATATCAATAGATTAACACACTGATTAGGTGAATGCTCTTCTAACCCATTTGTTTCACCTCTAAACCTTTGTCCATTCTCACACATGAGCTTTTAAGGGACACCTCATATCTAAATCATAATAGAAGGCAAGAAGAGAAGAGTGGGGAAGACAGCAGCATTGAAATAAGGGTGGCTACCCTTGAACTATTTAAGTGTCTTCATTCCGCCTTGAGCCAGGAGATTTGGTTTGGCATTGCAAGTTATTTTGTAGCTTGTGGGTAGCCACAAAGGAGATAAGCACACACCCTTAGCCTTGAGCGATGGAGGTGTTGAACAGGCTTCAGGTGGACCTCACCTCCGCTCAGCCTGGGAATGAAGCTCTGGGAGTGGGTGTCACTCAATGAGATGGGATACACCCCCCTGAAACCCAATCCCTTGCCTCATTTGGGTTTCTTCAATAAATAGGATGGTGGCATAGTCTCTCTCTTTCCAACAGACCCTTAAGGTCAAGAGCCGTCCCTGATTCCAGCAAGTAAAAGGTATTTCTGTGCGTTGGGAGCTTCTTTCCCGTTTTCTAGTTATTGATGTAGCCAGCGCTTGTGAACCCAGCTCAGGTCACCGGCCCAGCTAGCTCCCAGTAGTGGCTCCTCCCACTTAATGGATTACACAATGCACATGAACTCAGTCTTTGCTGGGCCAGGGAGAGAGCTGCAGTAGCTCCAGAGTTGGGCGTAACCCACTGGGCCTCCTACCTTAAAAGGCAAAGAACATTCTATGGAAAAACATTTGATGCTTCTCTCATATAAAAAAGCAAACGTGGGGTCTTGCTCTCTCTTTCCAGTGTGGAAGCTCCACCCCTAAGGTCAAAGAGTCGTCCCACACTCCCTTTTCAAAATTACTTTCTGTGTGCTTTTTTTTTTTTTTTTTCACCTTCTTTTCTTAGCTTTATTTCACAGCCAACCTGCATCATGTAGAGGAAACCCAAATTCCACCAGCCCCAGGGACGTGGGTGAGAAAAACACCTAAAATTAAATTTCAATTTGTTAATGTTGCTACAGTATGAATCCTTTTGCCTTTCCAAACCTTCAGTAATGTTTAATCTTTTTATAAGCTTCTATCAAGAACCAAAAAAAGAGAAATCACAAGGGCCATCAAGCTATAAGGGCCATTCAGGAGACAAAGTTTTCCCTTTCCTTGTATATCTCTGTTTCTACTTGTATATCATTTCTCTAACTTCACTTGGTCTGTGCACATCACTAGAAAAAGTCTTACTTATCTTTGATTTGTAGGAATAACCTATCCTATTCCCGACTATTGCAAAATGTCATTTACAATGTGTGCCTTGGTACACAGGGTACTGTGTTCCAGAAGAGCTCCTAAATCCCCCAATCTCATTGCTCCCACCCCTCCTGCTCTAGTCTCTAATTTAGATCTTGATTAAAGTTGTATCTATCTTCAGCCTTCCTCACACCACAGTGGCTCCCTGCAATGTAATTCTACATGTTTACTGGTAATAAATTCATGATCAGGCATTTCCTCTGACCCTGAATGACTGGTCCCAATGTACACAGATTATCCAGATCAAGTCTGGTCCACCACCAGGTTTGAGGAAGAAGCTTTAAAAAATGATTGTAAGATTAATTCACAACCAAAGAAATCAAGTGGTAGCAATTCTCCAGAATATCTGCTAATAAATCTACCAGTTCAGTTGTTCTGTAATCTACAAATATTTGTAGTGCTTTTCAACTTTTTAACCTAGCTCTACTTGTCAAACTTTACTTTTTAGAGAGGCCATTAGAATAAAGTTTTGTTTTGCTCTGCTTTGCTTTTTATAAAATTCAAAATGATGGTATGTAACGCTATAATTAAATGTAATTTTCAAACAATGCATCCCTTCCAATCCATCCTAGAGATTGTGATGTGTCTCCCCCATCATACCACTCTCTTCTGACCATGGAAGTTCTTCCATTGTTTGATGAATAATCCCTAGTTTAGACTGGAGTAAGCCATTATGGAAAAAAAAATCTCCTTTACTCTTAAGATTGAATATAACCAGGAAAAAGTACAAATACTTTAGATCATTACATTTAATGAACAATGTCATAAGGAAACCTAAATAATCTGACATACCCATCTAGGAGAGCAATGACGTTCTTCCTTGGACGCCCAATATTAGGGCCATATAAGCTGGCTCTGGAGTAAATCCGGATGGGTTGCAAGAGGCTCTTCAGCTGGATGTAATCTTTTCCCAACTGGCTGCCATTCACAGCCCGGCCATGCATAGTCCGATAGTTATTTGGCTCTAGGTTAAAAACAGACATGTAAGTTAGCTTTGGGAAGAGCCAGACTCTGCCAACCCTTTCCTGTCCATAGACCTCTGCCTTTTCCTTAACAGAATGAATAAAATAACCAAAGAAAGGAAGTGTGGTGTATCTAAGTTGAAGAACTATCCCAGGAAAGAAGTCAATTTAGCAGTGTCCTCCTATGGTTTCACTCATTTCAAAGCAATCTTCACAAAAGATCACCTAATCCACAAAGGAGACCATGCTGATTTTCAGGCAATACTTCATAATGAATTGTGTCCCCCGAAATTTATGTCTACCAGAACTTCAGAACATGACATTATCTGGAAATAGGGTCCTTGAAGATGTAATCAATTAATATGCAGTCTCACTGGATTAGGGTCGGCCCTAAATTCACTGATTGCTATCTTTATAACAGAAAGGAGAAGGAAGTTTACACACACACATACACAAGTATACCAGTCAGACCTGTAAACTGCCTAAATGTTGACTGTACTCCCCCCACTCCACAATCCACCTACAATCTACTGGCAAAAGATGGAAGCACAATCTCTGATCAAACATTGACCCACAATTAAGCTATATTGTGATATGCCTTCTTCACACCATCTCTTCTAACTCTGGAAGGCCTGCAGAGATGAGAATTTCTTCCATTGTTTGATGAAGAGTCCTCAATTTAGAGTGGGCTAGAGGGAATACCTAGAAGCTGGCCTTAAAAACGTTTGTAAATGATAAATTAAAAAAATGTAGAATTATCAGTAGCTACATAATGTGAGAGAGACAGACTCTATATATAATTAGTCCATGTAAGTTTCTAAACAAACAAACAAAAAGAAACAATAAAAACATCTCTGGTATGGAGGATTTATAATTTAGAGGTTCTCCAACATATTATCTAAAATATATTATTTTCAACAAAAAATTATGACATGCATAGAAATAGGAAAGTGTAACCCAAATATTGGGAGGAGGAGGACTGTTCTAAGAAATTATTTCTTAAGAGGTCTTACTGTTGCACTCGGCAAACAAGGACTTCAAAATTTCTATTATAAATATATTCAAAGAACTAAAGAGAATAATGAAGAATGAAAGGAAAGCATAATGTTATTGACTTATCAAATAGGAATATAAGAGAAATAAACTATAGAAAAGAAGGCAGATTCTTGAATTGAACTGACTCATCATAAGCAAGAGAACACAATGAGATTAATGGCTGAGTTTTTGCCAGAAACAATGGAGGCCTTAAGAGAGTGGGATGACACATTCAAAATACTGAAAGAAAAAACCCTGTTAACCAAGAATTCTACATGCAGCAAAGTATTCTTCAGAACTGAATGCAAAATTTATATATTCCAAGAAAAACATGTGAGCAAATGTGTGTTATAAGAAATTAAAAAGGAGGGCTGGAGATACAGCTCAGTTGGTAGAGTGCTTGCCTTGCATGCACAAGGCCCTGGGTTCAATCCCCAGTACCACAATAAATAAATAAATAAATAAATAAATAAATAAATAAATAAATAAAATAGGAAGTCCAGATTGAAAGGAAATGCCACATATGGCAATTCAAAACCACACAAATAGACAACATCAGTATAGGTAGTTATATAGGTAAATATAAAAGTTGAGAATATACATGACTTTGTTCTTCTCTTGAGTGACTTAAATGACACTTGCACAAAACAAATAGATAAAGTGTTGTCGGTCTTTATCATACAAAGATGCAATATTTAGAATAATAATGGCACAGAGGAGGGGATAAATGGAACTATACTTGAACAAAGTTTCTATATTAACCTAAAATTAAGTTAGTATTTCTCTAAAGTGGACGGTAATGAGTTAAGATGAATTATACCAAGAAACTACTAAGAAAACAACAAAACAAAAAATGAAAGTGGTACTTTAGATAATATTTCTTTTGCATAAGAAAGGCAGTAACAGAGAGACAGAGAAACAAACAAAACATGAGATAAATAGAAAAAAGATAGCAAGGTGGCGTATGTAAATCAGCCATATAGACAATATTGAATGTAAATTGATTTAAAGCTATAATTAAAATTAGAAATTGTCATGCTGAATTAAAACAAAAACAAAATCCTAACAGAGTGACACATTTCAGATTCAAATAAACAAATAGATTGAAAGCAAAAGGATGGAAAAGAAGAAATATCATGCAAACAGTAACTATCAAGACAGTGGGAACAACTACACTTCTGAATATCAGACAAAATAGACTTTAAGAACAAATGTTACTAGAAACATTGTAGAACATTTTATAATGATAAAAGGGTATCTGGTAATGAGAATAAAGACCTCAATTTTTTCAGGAAGATATAGACATACCTAACAAAACCACCAAAATACAGGAAGCAAAATTGAAAAAATTGGAGAAATAGAAAATTCAAAAATATTACAAGGATACTTAGTACTACATTCTCTATAATGGATAACACAACTGGACAGAAAATCATCTAAGATATAAAAGAGTTGAGTATCATCATTGGCTAATGAACTGCTTGATCTATAGAACATTCTACTGGACAACAGCAGGATACACTCTTCCAATGTAGGGTAGAATATGCTTCCATATATACCACATGCTAAGCCATAAAACAAATCTCATAAATTTTAAAGGATTAAAATCATGCAATGTATATGCTCTGACCACAACTGAATTAAACTAGAATCCAACACCCGAAATTTGAGAAATTTATTTGAAAACTAAACAAATAATCCATGGGTCAAAGAAGAAATCACAAGGAAATAAAAATATTTAGACTGGAGTGAAATAAAAATATAACATAAGAACATATGGGATGCAGCATAAGCCGTGGCTAGGGAAAATATGATAGTCAGAAATGAGGAATGATCTCAAACCAACAACCAAGGATTCTACTGTAAGAATGAGAAAAATAAGAGAAAACTAAATCCAAAATAAGAAGAAGGAATAAAATAATAATAAAAAAAATTAGAGTGGAAATCAATAGTATTCAAAAATAGAGACAAGTCAATGCAAGCAAAATTGGTTCTTTAAAATGACAACACAATTGACACACAATTAGGCAGAGCCACCAAGGGAAAAAGAAGAGGCCACTGACTACCAAAATTAGGAATAAAAGAGGAAACACCATAAAGAACTTTGTAGTGATTAAATTGATACGAAAATACTATGTACAACTTTATATTACTAATTTAGACAGCTTAGGCAAAATGCAAAAATTTCAAGAAAGACACAATTTATTAAAACTGACTCAAGAAATATAAAGTCTAAATAGACATATAACAATAAAAATCAATGAATTAGTAATTAAAAAAATCTTTTCATAAAGAAAGCCCAGACCCAGGTACATTAATTGGTGAATTCCATCAAATGTTTAAAGAAGAAATACCAATCCTTCATAAACTCTTCCAGAATATAGAGAAAGAGGTCACACTTCTCAACTCATATTATTCCCATTCCAAAGCCATTATGAGAAAACTAAAGATGAATATGTCTCTTAAATATAGATGCAAAAATCCCCATTCAAAAAAATATTTACAAATCAAATCCAGCAACACAGAAAGAGTATCATAAACCATGACCCAATAGGATTTAAGCCAGAATGCAAGGTTGACTTAATATCAAAACCCAATTAATATAAATTACTATATTGATAGAATGAAAGACCAATATCATCACATTATCATCTCAATAGATGGGTACAAAAGCAGCTGGAAAAAGTCACCACCATTCCCAATAAGCACTCTCAATGCACCATGAATAGAAGGAAACCTCAGCCTGATAAGGGATATCAGAAAAAACTTACAGTTAATATCATCATACCTAATGATGAGATACTGAATGTTTTCCACTAAGATTGGGAACAAGGCAAAAATGTGCTCTTGCCACTAACAGTCAACATTTGTATTAGATGTTCTAGCCAGTGCAATTTCTCAAGGAAAAGAAATTAAAAGCATCCTAACTGGAAAGGAAGAAATAAAGCTGTCGTTACTCTCAAACAACATGATCCTTTTTGCAGAAAATCCTAAGGGATCCACACGTGTGGGGAAAAATTTAAATATATAAAAACAAATTCAGCAAGGTTGGAGAATATAAGAACAATTTATAAAATTGTTATTTTTAAATACTAGCAATACACAGTTCAAAAATGAAATTAAGAAAATAATTCCATTCACATTAGCATTAAAAATAATACTTAAGAATAAACCTAGCAAAAGCAATGCAAATTATATATGCTGAAAGCTAGAAAATATTGATTAGAGAAATTAAAAATTAATCAATTGGGAGGCTGAGATAGGAGGACCATGAATTCAAAGCCAGTCTCAGCAAAAGCAAGGTGCTCAGCAATTCAGTGAGACCCTGTCTCTAAATAAAATATAAAATAGGACTGGACATGTGGCTTAGTGGTTGAGTGCCTCTGAGTTCAATCCCTAGTACTCCCCCCAAAATTAAATAAATGGGGAGATAACTTAGGTTCATGAATAGGAAGACACTAAATTAAGATGGTAAGTCTCCCCAAATTGATCTGTAGATTCAATACTCTATTAAAACCCTAGCAAGGTTTATCGAGGATATTAACAAGCTAGTTCTAAAATTTACATGGAAATACAAACATCCAGGAAAGCCAAACCAATTTCAAAAAAGCACAAAGTTGGAGAACTTAACACTTGACAATTTTAACACTGTAAAGATGTTGTAAAAACACAATATAGTCCTAACAGAAGAACAGAAATATAGATCAGTGAAACAGAAGTAAGAGTCTAGAAGTAGAACCACTTAAGTCAATTAAATTTTGATAAAGGTGCTAAAGTAATTCAATTGGGAAAGAGGTTGTCTTTTAAATAAAGTGTTGGGAAACTTGAAATCCACATGCAAAAAAACTAATTTAGAACCTTACTTCATATCACATGCGAAACTTAACTCCTAATTGATTCATGCCCAATACAGGAGCCAAAACTACAAACTATAAAACTTAGAAGAAAATAAGGCAAAGAATCTCTG